CGCGGCCCTTTTGGCATCCATCCCGTGGCAAGCTGCTTGAAGCTAAGCTCTTCGCTTGAAGCTGAAAATGCTGACCCATCTGAGAGCCCCGCTCTGAGAGCATGCTGACGGCAGTGCTGTCTGCTCTTCTTCTACTCGCTTCCGGCCTCACACATCGTTTCTTCCTTTGGAGAGGTTGATCTTCTAGTCTCTGCGGGGCTGAATTCCCATCAACCTGTTGCCAAGCTTCATTGATTTAGGAAAATGTCCACTTGAGTTTGGCTTAAATTTTAGAGTAGCCCTGACCTCAAAATGGTTTTTTCCCGGTGGCACAGAAAGCATCCCGCCACACACACCTGCTTTTTTGGGAAGGTGCTCTTTCTAGACTAAAGTAAGCGTGTGACTGAGAGATGTCTGCGGCCATGCACAGGTCCCAGAGGAGTGTTTAAATACGTTTGGAACAGACCCATCGTGTATGAATTGGAATAATACAATTTGACTTACCCTCAGATGTTCTACAGGGTGATTTTCCGTTGATGGACACTGGGGTGGTTTCTACCTTTTTTGGCTCTTGTGCTACAGTGAACATCAGTGTGCAGGTTTCTGTGCGAGCTCCTGTTTTTAAGTCTTTAGAGTATAGACATAGAAGTGGAATTATTGGGTCATATGGTCGTGTTTCTTACTAGGACTGTATAGCCCATAATAGCCTCGGCTTAACCCTCTCACTGGCCTCAATGGTCCCCAAATTCCTCTCTGCCAGAACCCTGCCAACAAAATTTCTTGGACATGTTTTCCTAAATAGACAGAATCCTCAAACCAAATCAGAATATCTCTTGAACTTGGGACCTGATAAGACATCTGAGACCAGTTGTCAGAGATTCTAAGCTGGTTATTCAAATGGGGAAACAAACATGTGGCCATTTTCTGACTCCCCTAAACGTCCAGTGACTTTAGCTGCTCAAGAATTCCTTTGGCTTGAAAACAAGATCCTAAGGGACCCTGGGGGCCACTGCCTTCCTGGAAGAATCCTGACATATACTAAGCCCACATACTAGCTTAGGACTACACTAGATCAATTCTGACTCACAGAGACCCAGTAGGTCAGGATAGAACTGTCCCTGTGGGTTTTCAAGGCAGTTTCTACCTTGAAATCTTTTTTTAAATAAATCACTTTATTGGGTGCTCTTACAGCTCTTATAACAATCCATACATCAATTATATCAAGCACATTTGTACATATGTTGCCATCATCATTTTCAAAACATTTTCTTTCTATTTGAGCCCTTGGTGTCAGCTATCAGCTCCTCTTCCTGCCCCCCCCTCCCCACCACTCATGAACCCTTGAAAAATTATAAATTATGATTGCTTTCATATCTCACACCCTCCGCTGTCTCCCGTCCCTCACATTGCTGTTGTTCGTCCCTCCGGAAGGGGGG